ATTTTCTTCAAGTGTTCATTTGTTAAGCCCTTGTGGTCATTTATACAAATGCATTGTGGGTTACACTTTCAACTACCAAATTGGGCAAGCTTGATTTCATGGACAACTTACCATTGGAGAGGGGAGGCCTTTATCCACATCAGTTCAATTTCGAGGTTAATGGCATCACTAGTCTATAATGTCTGGACCGAGCGTAATAGAAGGATCTTCGAGAAGAAAAGATTGTTGCAGAATTCGGTACTCCATCTCACGTTGGATACAGCCAGAACAAACCTTCTAGCATCATTTATTCCAGACTCTACCATTGGTAGGCAGATTGCGGATGATTGGGAATTGCCTACCTCTGTTTTGCATCCTCCGGCGAAGACATCGGATCCCCGATTGCGGAGGTATCCTCCTTGTTCTCACCGGATCGTGGAGCAGCTAGCAACGACCTTCATTGTTTCCCCATGGGTTTGGCCCTAACTTGGGATGCTGTCTTTTGGGCTATGTTACTTTTGGGTCGCAAAGTTTGCAATGTTTGGCCATTGTTCTCTCCCTTTTGGGGCTTTATAGTTGTTCCATAATTTTATAAATTGAAATTTACCTTAAAAACAAAAAAAAAAAACAAAAAAGTTATGGTTTCGAACATGATCTAAATATATAAGTTATTGTTAGAGGTTCTTGTCTAGCCTTAAATTTGGATAGCCATGGTCATACATAGAGTGGCAATATTACCCAACAGTTTAAGCTTTTAAATTAAAAGACAAACATCCAACTCGTTATAAGTAATCATAACCCACTTTAAAAACTTAAATTTTTTGTACAAAAATTAGAATTGTACATTAAAATTTCAATGATACTCGTATTTTAAAATTGAATAGTATGATATATTAAATGTTTTATGTATTATACAAATTATAAACATATTTGCACTGAGTTTTTTTATATATAAAAAAAATTAATTTTTAAATAATGTGTTATTCTAGTGACATAATTGATTAATTACCCTAACTATTCGATTTTTCTCATAAGTAGCAAAGTTAATAGCTTTACATTTAGTGAGACATAACTAGTATCATATACATATATTTAAATATTTCATTAAATGTAATTATACGTTTGTAAAGTTATATACTAGCAATTGAGATAAATTCAAAGAAAGTCTTTTTTTTTTTTTTTTGTAGTAATTTAAAAAATAATAGATGTTATAAACAAAACTATTTTTATCATTTATGTAAATTTACGATGAATTTAGTCACACTTTCTTAAAAGAACTACAACTATATTAGTGTACTGCGTGACCGTTTTTCAGTTTAGGACATTACCAAAAACGTAGGACAGGGGAATTAATGAGGTGAGCTTATCGTCACACTTGGTCAGCATCGTTGCGAGGATTGAGGAAGATGAACTACTGTATCTTTAATGGTGGAAGAGAGAAACTCCAAAAGCTTTGCAATCTTCAGACATCTCAAAGTCAACCCTTAAGAGCTAAGAATCACTACAAGCTTCCTCAAGCCTTCTGTTGCAATCTCAACCCTAAACCCTAAGGTTGTGGGCCCCACAGCCTAAAGGTAAGGGCCCCACAACTGATTTGAACCTGATTAGATTATTTAAATTTACTAGGGAGTATTAATTAATTTAATAATATTAATACAGAGTATTGTAATTGATAGATCCAAAAATGTACCGAGTTTCTTCTTCTTAATTTATTTAAAAAATAAATATTTATATACTTTAAGTAATTTATAGAGCAATGTTATCACACCAAATAAATTTGGGAATTGAAAAAAATATTAGTAGATTAAAATTTTGTTAAGTTTGATTTGATTTCTAAAAAGTTAAGTCCTTCATTTGACTTCTAACATTAAAATTTAATTATACAGATAAAAATTACTAAAATTATGCAAATAAAATGCGAGTCCTAGTCAAATGAACTTTCTTTCAAGCTCTTTGATTCATTTTATAAACTAAAATTAATTAATTAGACCTATTAAAAGTTTTTGTGATGTTTGTAATTAATTTAAAAAAGAGTAATTTTACAATCGACATAAACACAATATCCAACATGGATTGGCAATTAACGTATTTATTTCATTAATTACCACATCAGTAGATTATATAGTATTGTTAAATTTTTATTTTATTTTTAAATTAACAAGAAGTTAATTTTCAAATCTTATACAAAAAAAAATATATATATATATATAATATATGCATACGTATATACATAAGACATTGAAACGAAAGCCACGTGGAGGATGAGGAAGTTTGGTGGGAAGTGACAAAAACGCGTAGAATATGACGTATGCATATAGTGGGCAGCAACTTCCAAGCAATATCCAATAATGCCAGCGCATCACCCAGAATGTGTCAAACACGTGGACTGGATCAGGATCTAAATTAGCGTTGAAGCTCATACTTAATCATATATTCATATTAACTCACCCTAGATGTGTATGTGGACTGCCGATTTTTACGCTTTACAATATGAATGAATATATATACTACTACAAAGAGCAACATTATTTCAGGACAAATTATTCTATAAAATTACTCTATAATCCAGATTCATCATGTCTGACATCAATTATGAATTACTATATATGCAAATTACTTTCCGAAAAAAAAAAAAAAAAAAAATACCAAAATCACAAGATTTAAAAAATTCATATATAACATTACCCACATAAATATTTTTAAGAGTTGTTATATAGAGTTCCTCTTGAATGATATTATTATACACTCACATACTGTTTGTTTATTTATTTTTAATTTTAATGTTCAATGACAAGAAACTCATGCACCCATTTATTCAAATAGGGACATGTATATGAATCCATAGTATTCATTTTCGGGGGTAAAGAAGAAATGCTAGAGGTTTGTCTCATATTGGATCTAATGAGAAATGTAATAGGTATAAATGAATTGAGTATTAGTTCTACTTAATAATTTAAGTTTTAGAGTCAGATAGTGAAGTACATGACATATTACAGTTGGTATTATAACCAAACCTAATCCTTAATATGATGTTGTAAGGTGGTTCGAGTCGCAACGAGGATGTTGCGAGTTCTGCTGGAAGAGAATGTTAGAAGTTCGTCCCACCTCCCATCCAAATGGAAAAAGTAATGGATATAATTGGATTGGGTATTAACCCTACTTGATAATTTAAATTTTTAGGTAGAACGGTCAAATACTCGATCAATTACAAAATGCATCTTACTTTCGAACTACTTATTATTATCCATATTTTAAACATTTTGATTTTATTTCATCATTATGTTATTGAGATTTAAAGCACATTAACTTAAGACAACTTTTAATATTTTAAATGTGCATTCTAGTTTCATTGTGTAAAAAACAAAAATTAAATCAAGAAAATATAATGGGAATTTTTTTTTTTTTTTTCCTTACACGTGGAACCTTAGGCCGGTTGCATTAATTAACCCATAAGAAAGCGGACCTACAATAGGATGTCTTTTGACAAACCAACATCATGTGATGATACTGTAATTTGTTTGCTACAACATTACAACTTTTACTTTTATTAGTTTTAGGAATTGTTAAGCCTCTTCTGTCAACGTGGTCAGTTGTATGGTTCTGTACCCATTGTTTCCATTCTTCTAGTAGTTCGATTCAGAGTCTGAGACCTCACACGCTCCGCGGCTCCTCACAATCTATCCAGTTAGAGTCCATCTTAATTTCGAAGAACGATATTCCACGGATAGAGAAAAATTTTAGCTGAGTAAAATTCGGATTATATTGTTTAGATTATGTAACGTAAGTGACCTTTAAAAAATTATTTATAGTTAAAAAAGATTAAATTCTAAAACTTATTATTTATAGACACCAAAATTTAAGTCTTTTCCTATTAGACCACCTGTTTAAATAATTAGTGTTGTATTTTCGAAGTAAAATATATTACATTTAAAAACAATGGTGTTGTACCATCGAATTAATAATGTTGTAATCTCGAAATAAAATTGTTATATCCCACGAAATAAATGCGTTCGCACGACGAGAAACAACACAAATATTTGTTATTGTACATGGGACGGTTTATATGATGAGATTTTGAATTTGTTGGAGACCAGTGCAAAACCACCACGTAGACTAAACTGTGCTCTCAATATAGGCTTTAACCTGAACTGGTTTCAATATGGAATATGTTTAGTCAAATTTCAAGTGTATACGGGTTCTCACTTTCAAACACTCATTTTTTTTTCTATAATTGACAGATTGACAGCGCACACACACGTATCATTCACATTTTTAGTATTATCCTCAGAGAAGAAACCAATGAGAAAATGCAGATTATGTAATCTACAATTAATTAAAACTATGAAAATGTAATCTTCTTTAGTATTTTACATTGAAATACTGATTTTATGCATATTTTCTCCAAAAAAGCTTCTCCTCATTCACATAAAAAAGACGAATATATCCAACTCTCGAATTATTTATATTTTTTATTTATTGAATAACACAGAAGAAGTTTCCCACGAAGCCAACAATAAATGAGCTAAAGCTGCGCCATATCCTCTATGAAATTGACGCATTCATATATATACATATGTGATAATAACTGGAAAGTTACAGTACTTTCAAAGAAGAAGATTGAAAAATCTTTAAATTGATAAGCTTTGAACAGAGACTTTCTCAGCTTTTTAATGATAGAAGTTGATGAAAAAGAAAGAGAGAAGAGGCCTTGGAAGGTTAAGTGTGATCGAGAATATAATATATACATAAAAAAATAGATGTAACACATAAATTAATGTGTGAAAAGGAACACACCAAAAACAGAATATGGACCCCTCACCAGCCCCCACAATATTCCTCCTTTTTCACATCTTTTTTCAAAGAGGTAGATACATGGTAAGTATAGAGAGAGAAAGCGAGGAAAGAGAAAGCTAATAAAAATATCACAAGGCTTCCCAAACAAGTGCCTTGCAGCACACGGATCTTTCTATTTAAGCTCCCTTTGTCCCCATTTCTCTTCTTTTCAACTGTTAACTCTTCAAAGTTATAACTTCTCTTCTCTCTCTTCTCTATCTTCTCCCCCAATTCTCTCTATTTTGGTATATTCATTAAGTCGATCTGTAATCTTAGATTTTGTCCAAAATATTAATTGGGGTCTGTTGTTTGTAATCTATATATTGTTGGGTTGTGCTTGTATTTCTGTAGATTTGTAATTGTGTGTATCTACCATGGGAGGAGCTTCAGTATTGGAGAACGAAGTCGACGACCTCGCAGATTTGCCTCCTGGTTTTAGATTTCATCCCACTGATGAGGAGATAATAACTCATTATCTCACCGAGAAGGTGATGAACAGCAGCTTCAGTGCAAGAGCCATCGGACAAGTTGATCTCAATAAGTGCGAGCCATGGGATTTACCAAGTAAGCTCTCTTATATACATATGTTTGTGTGTGTGTGTGGATTTATTAATCAATTTTATGAATTCTTGATTCTTAATTATGAAATAAATTTAAATAAATAATTGTAGAGAAAGCGAAGATGGGTGAGAAGGAATGGTACTTCTTTTGCCAGAGGGATAGGAAGTATCCGACCGGGATGAGAACAAATCGAGCTACGGAATCAGGGTATTGGAAGGCCACCGGGAAGGATAAGGAGATTTACAAGGGAAAAGGGTGTTTGGTTGGCATGAAAAAGACACTTGTTTTCTACAAAGGAAGAGCACCCAAGGGAGAGAAAACCAATTGGGTCATGCACGAATACAGACTCGAAGGAAAATTTTCATACTACAACTTCCCTAAACCCGCAAAGGTACATATCCTTTTCATCTGAAAGAGAAAATCATTTTCTTTTTGTCTCTTCATGATGATCGTCTTTTTCAAATCTGCTTTTTTATTTTTTTATTTGTTGGTTAAGCTTTCTCTTTGTTTTTTCTTCCTTTTAATAGGTACCCAATTTCTTTGAAATTAAATTATGATTTCAATTGATGTATGCATGTTACAGGATGAATGGGTTGTGAGTAGGGTTTTCCACAAAAACACTGGGATTAAAAGAAGCCCAATTACTGGACTTATGAGGGTGAGCTCTGGATCTTTTGTGGATGATCTGTTAATGGATTGTCCTTCTTCAAATTCATTGCCGCCATTAATGGAGCCATTCTACTCGAACAGCGAAAGACCGAGCTCAAGCCTTGGCTATGGCAGCACAGAAGATGCCGAATTCAAAGGGACAACAAAACCTTCACCAATGAGATCTTCAGATGGAAATTACCTCATGATCAACTCCTACTTGGACCAACAATTTCAAAGGCAACAACAAGACCACAATAACAATTTCCTCATGCCAACTGGTGTTTACAATCCAAGTAACCAAACAATGCCAAACAACATTTTCTACCCCCAAACACAGCTACAAAATCCCATGGCCTTTCCTATGCAAGCATTTGATTCCATCCCGAGTTTTCAACCCTCTTCAGGCCTCATGAAGGGTTCAAATGATGCCATTCTACGATCTCTCGGGACCGAGCAGCTGGAGAGGCAGTGCAAGGTGGAACAATTCTCCTCCAACCAGTCCATGGTCAGCCTGTCACAAGACACCGGACTCAGCAACGACATGACCGCCGAGATATCGTCGGTGGTTTCGAAGCAAGACATGGGAAGCAACACTACTAGGTCTTATGATCAGCAAGACCTTGATCAAGGTGGTCATATTTCAGACTTGGACTGTTTCTGGAGCCCCAACTACTGAAGACTTGATCAATTGTGTCTGGGTGATAATTCATAATTAAGAGTCCTAACCATTTCTTAGGATTGGCATAGATCATCAGATTTTAGGTAGTCTTCTTTGTTATATAGTAGTTTAATTAATTAGTCCAAAGGAAAATTAAAATGCCTGTTCATGCTTGTAGAAACTACTGTATAAATTTATGTATGATTTCCAGTCATTTTCGGATTTATGTTGTTATAGAAAACATCAATTACTTTATACAGCCTCTGTATATGTACATTTTTATTCATTCATTTATTTATTTTTCGATAAGTAAGAGTGAGTTGTATAAAAATCAGAAATTCTGTTCTTTCATTTAACTAGCTAGTAAAATCATTCTCCTTCATTTTGTTTCTTCGAATTTATATCCATTTAGATAATTTTTATTGACTGATCAATCTTCATGTTTCATGAATCTATCCATCGAGCTCATATTATTTACAGAAATTTATGTAAGTCACAGAAAGAAGAGAGCATGGTGTTTTCAACTAGAGTAACACCGAAGAACCTATTTTTATTTTTATTTTTTTTATGGAGGTGTTGATGTGAAATGGTGATAACTAAGAATTTTATTTGTTCTCTTCTTAAATAAAAAGTAAATATTTTATAATCTTAACTATTTTATTTATTTATTTATTTGGAATAGAGGAACATTATTAAGTGACATCACACACTACGTACAGAATGTCAAAAAAAACAAGACAAGTGGAATGGAAGTGCAATTTTTGACATTCTTGAGATGGATGACCAATTCATGATATGTGCCTAAATTCATGCATTAGATTTGGGGATTTGAGAAAATAAATAATTGTTAAACAAGACTTAATCATCGATCTTGACATGTTGTTATTAAGTGTGGTGTTCTCTAACCTCATATGAGCTGTAGGAATATTCTCACATTGTCCGGCATTAATTCCCGCGGTAGTATTTAACAATAGCTTAATTATAGCTTTGTCATCTCCTTCCCAGAATATTTTTACTGTTCTATGTTACAAATTAAATTTTCCTCCTTGTGGACGTAACAAAGACACATAACACACACACATATATACATGTGTGTGACTGTGTATATATGTATATATATAGATTATTTTGATAAATGAAGCAGTTCCTATGGTACAAAGTTATTACGTACAAAGACAAGCCCCTTTAAATCTGGTAATGTGACGCAATTATTCTTCTTCTTTTAAGGAAGTGTACCATACAAGAGAGAAAGAGAGAGAATGTATAGCACGCTATAGTTGAAGGGGTGACGATATATATATATATATATATATATATATACATATATAAATCGGTTATTGGAAGAGAAGAAAGGTTCATGTGATTTGCTTCCACCATTAGCTTACTTTCTATTTGAAGCAAAGCTTCCGTTTGTTTCAGACTTGCAGGAGAGACATCAATATATATATATATATATATATATATATATACATGTACACATATAAATAAATGGTTTGTTTATGAAGTATTTTATATGTTGAAGCAATTAAATAATAAAAACACATTCTCAATCAATCAAGAATCCTGATTTGTTGCGTGAAAACATGGTGGGCGGAACCATTCACATAAATACACTGCTATATATACTACTCAATTTATTTACCATTTCCGGTCACTTTCACGTCTAATAGCAATTGTACATTATTTACCACTTCCTCCAACTTAATTAATTGTAAATACAAAAACAATTTCAATCCAACTTCTTTACCATGCGCTAAGGCCCTTCGTAGTCTAAGTAGTAGAGTAGCTCTTCGTTATTGAGAACCCCGATTTCGAACTATATTTGAACCTTTTCACCATCTTTCTCGCTAACAACTAACCACCTAACATTCTTGTCATGTAAAAAAAATTAAAAAATTCTTAACCGCTCCCTTTCACGTCTAATTGCAATTGGACATTATTTACCACCTCCTCCAATTTAATTAAATTGTAATACGAAAACAAGTTCAATTCAACTTCTTCCTATTTATATTTTTTTATTTTACCACCTCCTCCAACTTAATTAAATTGTAAATACGAAAACAAGTTCAATTCAACTTCTTCTTATTTATTTACTAATTTTTCCTTCAATGGAGAGGGAGGAAAAAAATATTCTTCAAACTAGCATGGACTAGCTAGGCCAAAAATTTGTTTCAGGGGGCATGGTAATTATGATAATATTAAAAAAAAAAAAAAAAAATCAACTAATACTGCAGAAACTATAGAGACAATATGTTGAAAAATAGAAGTTTATATAGTGTGTAATAATTTGAAGAAAAATTGTTGTAAATAAAATTTCATAAATATAAAATACGAACATTAAGGGTCCTTTTTTACAACAATTTCTATTTTGCATTTTTCATTTCATATGAAGCAGATTTTTTTTTTTTTTTTTTGCTAATAAATATCACTAAGCTGACCAACCCTTGGTCTGATGTAACATAATGATAGTGTTTATTTCAAATTTTAAATACAAGAGATAGAAAATAAAGATTTTTTTTTTGTTTTTTATTAATATATTATTATTTTTTAAAAAATACATCTTATCTTGTCATTGTGACACATGCACTTTGGTATACATCTATTTAGGCTCGGTTTGTTTGGATGTAAAAAATATTTTACTATTTTCTGGTATTTGGTTGTAGTAAAATATATACCAAAAAATTTTTTTAAAATTTAATAAAAATAACTTACATATCAATTTTAGACAAATTATTTTACATGTCACATCGACTTATCGGAGAATAATAATTAGACTTATTTGTCAGGATTTGTAATGTAAGAAATTTTATCCCTTGTCTAGCCTAAGAGTCAAATCCGCCTAAAAATAAGATGAAAAATAGCTAGTGGGTCGGGTTTTGTGCATAGCCTAGGTTATCAAGATAAAAAATGAAGATAGAATTAGTCCAGTAAGACGGTTAACAATTCTTTTTTTCTTTTTCTTTTTTTTTTCTTTTCTAATTAAATGTTGAAAATGTTGTTTTGTGTGAAACAAAATGATAGAATTATTGCTTCTCATCATTTTATGATTTTAAGCAAGTTAATGGACTAACATTTCAAGATCCTTTGCTGCTATTTTTCGATTTTCCTCTTCGGGGTTTTGCTTGTTGCTTTCTTCGTGGGCTTTTTTTTTTTTTTTTTGTGGGCTGTCCTTAATTCAATTCGTGATTTTCATTACTTGGAAAAAAATGACGGGCCCAGTTTCAATATTAACACAAGAAAATGAAAAATGTCAACTCACATGGGCCGCAAATTGGATGGGCTAGCCCAACTGAAGGATGAACGTCCCCATGTTGCAGGTTTGTTAATAGACTAAAGTGACTGTCAAAAAAAATTAAAAATAAAAAAGACTTAAAGTGACTGGTGTTCTAAGGATCGGTGGAAACCAAAATAAAAGGCCAATTTAGCTTGAATTTATTACATGTTTTTGGGATTATTGATTCCAAACTAATTATCAATTAACACGCAAATAAATATGTTTGTTTTATTTAATTTTTTATTTGCGTATTAAATATGAATTGATTGACTCTAAGTTATAAATTCTCAATTTTAAATATTCTCTCTTCTCAATTTCATACTGAGAGCAAAAAGTTATACTATACTTTATGTTTTTTTTGTTCGGAGTAATAATACTGACACTGAACACTTGTCGTAAATTGTCTAACCAAATAATTTGTAACTGATTATTTATATCAAATATAACTAAATGAAGGACTCTATTTCTTAATTTGTTACATAATTAATCAATTAAAAGAATGAGTCTAATAATTCACTACAATTATCAGTGAAAGAACCATTTACCTTTTGTTATATCACTGTATCAAAATTTCATACCTAGGCGTACAAATGCAAATGCTTACCTACACAACAAATCACTATTTCATACATAGGTGTACAAATGCAAATGCTTACCTACACAACAAATCACTTTTTATTATCAATTTTCATAACATTTAATGTGCTTTATCTCCAATTCAAACAATGTGGTCCACTTAAATAGCCATTTTATATATATGTGTGTGTATATTGGAAAGGAACGGAAACTTTGAAACCTCATTTTTAACCTACCTACTGGACATTACTTTAAAAATAATAATAAAAAATGGCTATTTAAATGGACCACATGGTTGTACTGCACAACTTGTGCAAGCCAAATCAAAATTGATGTCTGAAAGTGGCAAGTCAACAATGATGTGAACTGCGTTATGTTGCGACAATGTGGTAGGATTCACGTGGATCCCATTTGATGTATCATGTGACAGCCACAACTTCGCCTAATTGGGTCGCATAACTCGCATTAATATACCACCATTCCAAAAGAAATTAGAGTAGAAAAGTCAATCAAATACATTTACAACTATTATTCTTTTGGCAGCATTCAATCGGTATTTCAAAGTTAAAATTAAAAATAATTTAATAATTCTTTTATTTTAAATTCAAAATATGGAATCGGTACTTTCAAAAATTCACTTACAAAATTCACTGCATATTTATCTATTTTTAAAAAAATAAAAAAAATTAACCTAAGCAAGCTTCCATTAAACCAACACCAACAAGAATTCAATCTGAGGAGAGGAGGGCAACAGCCACCGAAGTACAATAACACAACTTTGAAACAAAAGCAGCTGGTGAACATTTCGGATTAAATCGGACTTGAACCCTCCAAATTAAAATTTTCTTTAAGTTTTTTAAGTTAAATTTTTTACAAAATAACATGTGCCATTTAAAATATATCTATGGTATTTTAAATTACTTCAGCTAATTTAATAAAAGTTAAGAAATTTTTTTAAGATATAAAAATTTTAAAATACCTTAACCATTTATACTTCAATTTAAATATGAATCTGAATTTGCATAAAAATATATCTGGTTATTACCAACCAAAAATTTAATATTTCTAAATAATAAAGAAAGTCTCTTTTCTGTTGAAATCATGCCAAACTATGCTCAAAACTTAAATTTTACAAAATTCATCTAATTGTATACTATTAAATTAAAAAACTACTATTCAAGTTTCTTTAATCAAATCACCTTCTTCATCCAAGCCAATACTATTATTTTAAAAAGCGAGTAGGGAGCAATCTTTTTTGGAAATAAGATAAAAGATCATATAGGAGAGAAAGATGCTTACATCTTCGTAAAGTGAAATACTAAATCTTTTTTTTTTGGGAAAAGATGAAAGATCTTATGGGAGAAAGATGTTTAATTTGTTTTGGTTGAAACTGAAATGGATTTGATAAAATTTGTATAGAGTAATTTTATAGTATGCCCCCCTAAAATCTTCATTTACTAAAATTTTATATATATATATATATATATATATATATATATTTTTTTTTTTTTTCTTTTTTTTCACTTCTTCTTTTTGCACTAGTATATGATGTATGTAACCTTTTATTTTTTTATTTTTATATAGCCCTTCTTATTTACATTTATTGTTGTAATTTTATGAACTCAATGTGTTTAATTTCATGCATTGATTTCAAAATAAAACTAAATTTATCATGTTATTTGAAAAAAAAAAATTTACTCAAAGTACATTACGCCCCTCCTAAAATTAAATTCCGACTCCGCCCTTGTATAAAGTCCGTACCATAAGATGACGAGGGTGTTCTAAATCATAAAATATGCATGAATTACATATATGTGTGTTTAAAGAGAATAATTGATGAATTTATCGAAAGTTCAAAGAAAATCAAATACATGCTAAAGTTAGAAAGAATAATGGGTGAATTTTACGAAATCCTATCCTTATCAAAGAAGGGTAATTATGATATAAAAAATATAAGAATCAATTAATGTGTAATCTAAGGACAATTGGATAATTTCATTTTAAAAGAAAAGAAGAGTGAAGTGTCAAAATATATTGGTGGAGTGCAAATACATATATATAATAGTATCCTTTATTTTAAATTTTATTATTAAAATATTATATCGAATACTCCCTTCATTCCAAAAAATATGTCTTAATTCAAAATTAAATATTTTATTTTTATAACATTTTCAAACTGTCTTTTTAAATTAAATATATTTAAAACTTCTCTCTTATAACTATAATAAAAACTATTAAAACTTTACAGTCATCCAAAGTTGAATTTCCCAAATATTACGTGTAATAGTACATATTTTGGGACAAAGGAAATAAAATTATAAAGAATTATATTGGAGACAAATCGGGACGGAGAAAAGGTTACCATTAATCGATAGGACAGCGTGGAGACCGGCTTCCTTTAATGTCCCATAAAAGGTTAAAACTACGAATCTAACCGTACCATAGCCCAGCAGCCAGCACCACCATTGGCTAGAGAACAAAAAAAAACTTACCAGCCTCTCTCTCTCTCTCTCTCTCTCTCTCTATATATATATATATATATATATATATATTCCAAGAAAGGTTTTTTTTTGGAAAGTGTTCCAAGAAGGTTCACAAGTGATATATCATAGTTCCTTTCATTTCACACGACGACGACGTTAAACGTATAGATCGTTACATACACTATTACAAACATTAGAATGATTAAATCATTCACACGTATAAATTATTTGGCCATTGTAAAAAATTTCGTAGAAATTATTATTTTTGTCCAAAATAAATGTTTTTTTTCAAAGACTAAAAGAAGTGACTAAGGTTGTGAAGTTAGTTTCAATAGTGTGGTCGGATCACTTACACGTACGAGACCAACCTTTGCACTTGTGAGGGATTCATGCTCACTTGGATTGATTATTTTACCACAGAAGGAACTAGTTTGTGTGGTCTATATTTTACCAAGTCTTATGTTTTTTTTTCACACACAAATTGAGTGTCACTGTAACGTAGTACAACAGGGTGGTCGTGGAACCATGCACGTTGCAACCTCTGTGGCTGTACCTAATACCTACCATTCTCTTTGCATTTCATATATTCTCAAATTTATACTAGTTGTTCTTATTAGTTATAAAGAGATAAAACTAATATAAGCAACAATGTTAGTAAGTTTATTTTCTTGAACAAATCATATACATAAAATAAATAGATTTCTATTTGTTAATTATTTTTATATATTGAATAAAAATCTTTGAAGATCACCTTAATTATTTCTATTTGTTAATCATTATGTGTATATATAAATATGTATGTATTTACATTTTCAAAGCCATTTTGTCCTTTGAGACAACTACCAAGACCAATGCACCACCAACCAATCAACACTCCCACTACCAGTCAACTTTCAGGACAAGCCAACCACATTTCTTCGGAATTTTAATGCCCATTGTCGATATATCCTTGTACGTTGCCACAATTTCAAGGATATAATAGGTTGAAAAATCACAATAATTAACTCTAATTATACATAATTTTGTACCAAATTCACACCATGGGTAGTAAGGTTAATAGTCTAAGTAAACGAGACTCCTATTATTATAGAGTGTAGAGAAGAAATACGTGAATGTTTATAATAAAAAATTCTAAATGATATTACTACGATTTTTTTATTCGTGTTATGATGTGATTACGTAAGATTTATTTATTTATTTATTTTTCTTTTAGAAATTAATTAAGACTAAGCTCATCAACATTTTACCCACCTCATGATGAGGACCCCATATAAAAGGTTATGTATACATTTGAGAATCTCCATTCGTGCTTATATATTCTACTATTTACACATGTATTGGAAGCGGAGCAATAAAAACTCTTATATCTCTTCATTGAAAATTGTAAGGTTCAACTCTCTCTCTCTCTCTCTCTCTCTCTCTCTCTCTCTCTCTCCTTGCTGGCGGGTGCAGTTGCAATTCTCTGGGCAACCATAAGGCTAAGGTATCTTCTATCTTCTCTCTCTGTGATCAGAATATAGCAAGTTGTTTCTTTACTATCTTTTGAGACTTTTTATAAGTCTATTACAGTAGTTTATACTTTCTCCATCTCTTCCACTTAATGGATTTCAACTACTCCCCATAATTTCACATTATTTTAGTACACAACATATTACATATATATATATATATATATATATATAGTGGACATTATTCAATTCCGAGCTCAGTAGAATCATCTTTGTTATAGAAGTTATTTGATTTTTGAACTTGTAACACACTAGTATTCAAAAGTTAAACGCTGAACCAGTTAACCAATCTCATTTTTTTCTTTTTACATGTAAATGACCGTAATATTATGTTATTCAGCAACTGACAGTTAAGCTGTGAATTGCACTGTCGTCATTCTAATAATGCTAAATACTGAATGACAATAATAGTTTTATCCAGTACCACTTGCATTAACACAACATTTATTCTTTTGGTTTCTTTCGGTGCGTTATAATATCCTAGTTGCTAGGAAAAAAAACAAATCCTAACTACCAGTCTGGTAAAATGGTCTTTGAAGAATTATATATATATATATATATATATATAATTGCGTTAACCAAAGAAGAGTATATGTGGTGTATATATATATATATAATTGCGTTACCCAGAGAAGAGTATATGTAGCGATCTAGTGGATGGGTGTGAGCGAATGCGAAACACTGACGAACTACGGGTGCACGATTCCGTATTGCCTAGGTATAGAAAGGGAAAGTAATATATATGTACTAGTGTTATCTCCTTCATGTTACTCCTCCCAAGAGACATGTCAGATCCGGGGCATCCCAATTGGATTGAATGGGATGACAATTTGTCATTCCGAATCTGTAAAATCAGAATTTTGATCAAATCACACATCGCAGTATACTAGGCCTTCTAATTCTTTAAGAGGTTTATCTAAAAGATTCGCAATATAACTAGGAAGACGTTTCAAATACCACACATGGGTTACTGGGCATGCCAGTTTGATGTAGCCCATTTGATATTTGCGTATCTGAGAATCAACAAATTCGACTCCGCATTGTTCACAAAATTTCTGGTCTTCCTTTTCATCTCCGATTACTCGATAATTTCCACAAGCGCAAATTCCGCTTTTTATAGGCTCAAAAATTCTTTCACAAAATAATCCATCTTTTTCCGGTTTATTGGTTTTGTAATGAAAAGTGTAGGGTTTTGTTACCTCTCCAACTATCTCTCCATGCCTGGGTATAGAAAGGGAAAGTGGTATATATGTACTAGTGTTATCTTCAAATAATATGCGATCTTTTGAAATAAAACCTAAGAATAAAATTGTGCGAGCTCAGTCTCAAGTAATGTCATTCAATCCAACCCGTATGATATTTTGGCATAATAAAAGTGAAAATATGTTATTCATAACAATACAATAAACAAAATACAAAATTTACCTTCTGCTGTTACTTCTTTGCTTTGCTTATGCTCTAAATGCATACTTTATACCATTAACGATCTCTTATGACATGTATTTTACAAGCTCTAGTTCTAAAGAAATTATTATTATTTGGTTAAGAGACTCATTTGTTTAATCAAAGAGAAATGCTAGGTTAAAAACCAAAAAAAAAAAACAAAAACAACAACAATAACATCGGTGTTGTGGATTATTTCGTGATACAGGTCTCACAATTCTTTTTTGAGAAGTGAGTGTCTCTCACTATTAGTCTTTAATAGGACTTGAACACTGGACATGACATAACCGCACTTGGAGGGTATCACATAGTGTAGAGTATCGAAAAACTAAGTAAAAATATATTCAAGGAAAAATGAGAATTGTTGTTGAACAAATATTATATAAAAACATTGATACATGTACTTGTTTATGAAAAAAGGCATCCAAGCATGCACAAGGCTCCGTTCTAGAATGCCAAGAATACCACGTACAACTCATATAGTCGTATAAAGTAAATTTCATTTTTAATGTTTTTTTTTTTTCCCCCTTCTCTGCAGCGTTAAACATGGATAACAATGTCGAAGAGAGGCTCCTTACATCAGAAGTAGAAAATGCAAGTTTGAAAGAGAGGGTTTGGATAGAATCCAAAAAGATATGGAGGGTTGGGTTTGCTGGTATAATAGCAAGAGTAACACAATTTGGAATTATTGTGGTAACACAATCATTCATAGGACATATAAATGAATTAGATCTTGCTGCTTATGCAATTGTTCAAACCATTGGTGTTCGCTTTGTAAATGGGATTCTGGTGAGTGCTTATTCACACTTCCTATACATTCCTATACATTCATCACTGTCATAATTCATAAACATTGTTCTTATGAAAAATATTGATATATATATATACACGCACATACCTAATGCAGTTAGGAATGGCCAGTGCAACTGAAACTCTTTGTGGGCAAGCATTTGGAGCAGGGCAACACCACATGATGGGGATTTACTTGCAGAGATCATGGATCGTTGATTTTGTTACCGCGACAATCTTGCTTCCGGTGTTCATCTTCGCGACGCCAATCTTTAAACTACTTGGGGAGGAAGAAGACATAGCAACAGAAGCAGGACATATCTCTCTATGGTTCATTCCATTTATCTACAATTTTGTCTTCGGCTTGACCATCCAAATGTATCTGCAAGCGCAGTCCAAGAACATGGTTATTGCATGGCTATCTGCTTTCTCATTTTGCTTTCATGTGCTCCTGTCCTGGATCTTTGTGTCCAAGCTCAGCCTCGGAATCCCCGGAGCAATGGGGGCACTGATCATTTCTTCTTGGTTAGTGGTCATAGGTGAGTTTGTGTACATCCTGGGAGGTTGGTGTCCTCTGTCATGGAAAGGATTCACTTTAGCTGCCTTCCATGACATATTCCCTGTGGTGAAGCTCTCAATATCCTCTGGTATCATGCTTGCGTAAGTAAATTAACTTGCACCACTTCCATGCATGCTTTACATATATATATATAGCTACCCTCAATATATATATATTTAACATCTACTTTATTATTATTAATTGTTTTATTTTCTTACTTTCTTCTTCTTTTTTTTAAATTATAGGTTGGAGCTATGGTACTATGCTATTCTAGTCCTAGTGGCAGGATATGTGACAGATGCAGAAGTAGCCATATCTGCCTTCTCTATATGGTAAGGTTTTATTCACTACTTTACTTCTTGTTTCTCTTGCCTTACGATGAAAAATAATAAGAATGACTTTTATGCAGCCTTAACATCAATGCATGGGAATTTATGATTGCCCTTGGCTTCCTAGGTGCCTCATGGTATGCCATTAACTAGTAGCGAGAAGAAGCAATATTGCCACTCTTTTATCTCCCTAATTTCATGTTGGATTGAGCCACTGATTTTCATAATAATTTTATGTACAGTGTAAGGGTTTCAAATGAATTGGGGAGTGGCAACGCTGAAGCAGCAAAATTTTCTATGAAAGTCACGCTGGTTACTTCAGTTTCAATCAGTCTGTTCTTTTCCATTCTCTGTTTATTGTTTGGTCGCAACCTTGCGTACTTGTTTACAAGCGAAGATGAAGTTGCAGCAGAAGTGTCAAGCCTTTCTGCCCTACTTGCGTTAACAATATTGTTCAATGGCATTCAGCCAGTACTCACAGGCAAGTAACACATTAATTGGATGTTATATAATATTACACTAATCTTATAAATATTATGCATAATTGGAAAATTAATTAAGATTTATGATTTATATATGCAGAAATCTTTCTAACACTTTATTTTATATGCTTCACCCCTAAAATCTTGCTATCAGGCATAGCAATAGGCGCTGGCTTGCAAACTATGGTTGCATATGTTAATCTGTTCTGCTATTATGTGATTGGGGTTCCTATTGGGGTTCTGCTTGGATATGTGGCTGATTTGAAAGTTAAGGTATGTAATAAGCTATTTGTCTCCAACTTCAGCCTTTACCTAGAAAAATTTGAACAATCACAATGTGAAGTCATAGGAGTATTGTTTTTCAACAAGGCAAGAAGAATATGTTATGATGCCATTGGGACATTGAAACCGGGAATCCTATCTCTGGTTCTATGTTTGTTTTAGTTATGTACAACTACAATAACAACAACCAAGCCTTTTCCCAACTACTTGTCTACTTGGAATCAACTACATGAATTTTTATGTTTCCATTCCGCTCTAAGACCACAGCCTCAGTCAAACCACATGTTATCATATCCTTCCTTACTAATTCTACCCATGTCAACTTTGGTCTTTCTCTTCCCCTTAGTATCACCCGTGGACTATGTCACTCTTCTTAATTGGCACACTTAAAACATTTTCTTTGCACGATCAAACCATCTTACGTACAACTGATTCTTGATTTTATAGGGAATATGGATTGGACTGATCTGTGGGGTGGTAGCACAAACACTTGTACTTGGCTTCCTGATATTGAGAGTCGACTGGAATGAACAGGTAAATGGAATAAAAAAAATGTCTCCTTATAAAAACAAACGAGTTTCATTTCAGCAGAATTTGAGGCTCATAATTGTACCACTGGTACTTGATTATGAGATATTTCCATCTTACAGGTGAAGAAGGCATCAGATCGTCTCAATCGGTGGTTGTTGAAACCTGAGGAAGAGTCCAATCACAGCTCTAATAGTGCTTGAAATCGATACCTAGAAATTTCAATCACTAATTACACGAGAGCTGCAAGTGATATTTAGATTTTACAACTATTGCTCCAATTTTGTCTCCTTTTAGTATCATTTTCACTTATGTTGTGTTCGGATGGCCCAAGTGTGAAATTGTTGTTTACAACTTTAACAGCACACATTAAATTACAGACCCAATTTTTAGCAGGTCGAATTTTCATCTCCTTAATTCGCTCTCTTTGTTCCATGATCTTGAGCTGTTACTTCTATTACTCACTCTATATGTACACTTAACATTACAAAATTCCCTAGATATTTTATTTTCCTATATTTTGTTCCACCCATGATTTCCATTCTCATTAATAAAAGATCATTTAGGTTTCGTTGTATACAGGGGAAAGAAAAGAAAGGAAAGAATTATAAGAGAAAAGAAAAGAAAAGAAAAGAAAGGATAGTTGTAATTTATATTCGTGTTTGGATAGATAAGAGAGAAAAGAAAAGAAAAGAATTAACAATATTATTGTTTGGATGACACAAAAGAAAGAAAAGAAGAAAAAGGATAATAATAAAATTACCATCTTAACCTTTATGGTAGGGTTAATAGGACAAAATCATTTTAGCCTCCCAATCCCTCCATCGTTCCTCTCTCTGTATATAGAGACATATATTATATATATTACCTGTTATATAGACATATATATATATATATATATATATATTTCTCCTCTCTCTATATATAGACACATATATTGACACATATATTAATCATTCAGAAATCTGTAAAATCTTTCAAAATCTACAAGAATCAATTTGGGCAACTGGGAATTCTTAGAAAAAGTTGAGGTGCTCTCTCTATCTCTATCAAATCGAAAAATCATGCGGTGGACTTGGAATAGTTTTCCCCTCCAGGTGCTCTCTCTCTCTCTCTCTCTCTAAAATCGAAACATCAAAACCCATATCTCGGCATATCATTTCAGATTGTTCCAAAAATCAAAACCAAATCCCTTCTCAATTGCAACTCTCGCTCTCTCTCTCTCTGCAACTGCATATATATATATTTCAACCTCCCCAATAGCCTCCATCTCCTTCTCAGCCTCACTCTCTCTCTCTCTCTGTAAATGTATATCAAAACCCATATCGCATAACATTTCAGATTGTTAAAAAAATCAAAACCCATATCAATCAGTTTCTATCACCTGCTGTTCCAGTTTGGTCGCCGTTCACAAATAAGCTTCAGCCGGCTGTCTCTCATCTCTTGCCCCTTCTGTAATTTGCTCCCTTTCTCTCCAAATCCCTTCAAATCTTCTCAATTTTGAGGGGATTTGATTTTACTGTTTTGGAGGGATCCCTCCAAATCCTTCCCAATCCTTTCTTTTCTCTTCTTTTCCCTCAATCCAAACACACATAACACTATCCTTCCCTTTCTTTTCTCTCCAAATCCCTCTAAATCCTTCAATCCAAACGAGGCCTTAAGGCCTACAAATCTTCCAGACTCCAAACTTATTTAAGCAATTAGTAGATATTTTAGATAAATCGAACCAGATATTTTACATATTCAAGTAAACAACAACTAATGTGTAAGTTTCTTTAACCACTTTCTTCTTCTACTTTTTTTTTTTATTTCTATAGGCACATGTATTTTAATCAATCAGACATCAATGTTCTACTTTCAATCAATAATTATTGGCTATTAAACTGCTTCAATGATTTATATTGCAAAAATACTGAAAAGTCAAGTACAAGAATAGGGTACACCATTGTAAATCTAAAGTGCTACAGTGAGTGTGCGTGTTTGTCTGTGTGTGATTGTGTGATCTTACATTGAGATTTACGTAGAAAGAGAAATAAGGTTACCTTCAGATCCGATCCACTAAAAGAGAGAAATTGAGTAACGATGGAGAGATCTAAATGGTGAAATATTGAAATGTAGCAAGATAATCACTGCCCTGTTATAAGAGAGAAAGAAGGGCTTGAATCTCTGCTTACCTCCAAACGCGTGAAGGAGAGACACGAAGAGGCCGTAATAGAGAGCGTTCAGTGTTCACTGTGTGTGGATATGAATTGGAATTTAAAAAGAATTTAGATTTGATGGGATTTTAACAGAAAATTCGCAATCACCCCGGCCTACTCCGGTGATTCACCCCATTAAGAATTTGGTCTGATCTTGATATCATACCTTTGTAGGATTCGATCCAACAACTTAAATTATTAGTGAATTAATACTCAGTTTATATATATCTAATTACTCTTTTATCCAAATTGAATGTGAGATAAGCTTTTTCCCTTGCTACAACTAATCACTTTGTGTATAGTATATCACATTTTTATGTATACAAACATGTATAGATGTAGAGAAAGAAAGGGCAATTGAGTGCAAATTTTTTAATGAGATGGGGCTCTTGTTGACAAGCCAAAGCACATACCAAGAGTCCCTCCGATGGGATCCTTTTATGCGATTATGGGCCGAATTTAGCCACCGAATTTTTTTTTTTTTGGTTAAAGGTAAGCTTTAGCAACAGAATTTGTTCCAATGGGATCGTTTAATTTTGACCCAAATTTATGGAATTCAAATGGGGTTGTCGTTTTTTACGATCCAAATAGTCCGCTTTCATTATTCTATTTTTTTTCTATTTTTTTTTTTTTAACGGGTTGAGAACTGATTTTGCTTTTATTGCATTTATAAAAGCAGTTCTCAAGAATCAGAATAGAGAATAGTTTTCGATTTTTTCATATTTCAAACCTGCTTAGTTAAGATAATTTACAAAACAGTTTCCGAAAAACAAAAATTCGTAAAATTACTTAGTTGTATGAGTTTTTTAAAATAGTTTTATAAACTAAGAAAATAAATAAAAATATTATTGTACCTCACACTTTTATTCCTTTAATTTTTTATATGAACTATTAATGCGTGTGTGTGTATATATTTAAATAAGTGTTAGAGGTGAATTCATTTTAACTAAGTATTCTTAACTTAATAAAAGTTGCACAAATATAATATATTAAGTTTAATTAAAATTTGACTAAATTTAAATACAATAAAAGAGTTATATGAATTACTTCAAGTGTCATATGCACTTCTAGTTGTACAAACATTAATTTTAGTGATACAAAACCAAAATAAAATATTAGAGAATTACACAAATAGTTAATCAAAGCAAAAAACTGGAGAAGCGACAGAATTTCTGAATGATGCCCACATTTGATTATGTATGTTGTTCCTTCTTTTTGATCTTTTGCTCAGAAGCTACAGAATTTCTCAAAGAATGTTCCAGCAACTAATGATATTATCTAGTCTTTCAATCATGATTTGAGTGTAAATCAATGTTGCCTTTGATCTTCACAAAAGGAGCACCAACAACCTCTCTATTCAAAGGTTCAGGTTTACCAAAGTGGGCTTGATCTTCCAAGTTTTATGAAATTCTTCAAGCAAAGCCAACAATGGGGTCTCTTTAATTTCAAATTCACTCTCTTTTTCTTCTACTAATTCTCTTTCAAATATACTAACAAAACTCAAGAAAAAATAATAGTTAGAATGTATCAATAAGAGGTGTGTGTGTATATATATATATGCCAAGAGAGCCATTAGAGATCTGAACTTCTTCGTGTGACCCTTAGAATGAAAAATATCATAATACAACCTTAGCTAATAAACTCAACCAAAAAAAAGTGATGCCCTCTATAATGAATTTGGATATTTAGAATCAATTTTCCAAAGAGATAAAAGATTCAATACTAAATAGAATGGGATCTAACCAAATTTGTCATTTAAAAAGTGGTGTAAACAAAAAAAAAAAAAAAAATCCTTTTGACAACATAGAACATAACGCTAGTATAAGTTTCATTATCCAGAATAACAAGAGGACCATAACAACTATGTACAAAGATCAAATAAAAATTGCTCATCAAATTAACAGGGGAAAAAATATGAACTTTGAGTCCAAGATTGAACAAATAGAAAATAACTGAGACTGGAAATAAAAATTGCTCATTAAAAAAAAAAATGAACTTTGAGTCCAAGATTGAACAAATGTCATATTTTTTATGAATGAAAACATAAATATGACAGTGGGTGACATCTTATCCCGTTACAAGAAATCTGGAGGACTGTATGGCATTGATCATCATCAAGTTCTCACCTTCTAAGTAAAATGGGGGAGGGTTCAAGTGCCCATTGAAGGAAAATGGATGTGTGAGTTTAAAATAAGAAAAAAAAAAAAAATTATCTAATAATTCAGAGAAGGAAAAAGGTGAACACATAAGATATAACACTAAAAGAAGAAAGTTTCTATTATGATCTATTCATAGATTCCATGTTTCCATTGGAGACTTCTAAACTAAGATGAACTGTGGGAGTCAATATTGGTTTTTATTTGCATCAGAATCTGTTTTGTATTTTAAGAAGATATTAGAAAAACGAGGGATTGATTTGAAAGGAATGTGTAGCTTAATTTTATATTTAACATTGTAAACTTAGATCTTAACAAGATAAATGGATATATTAAATAGCCTTTAGAACTTTAACAAGATGAAATGAACTTTTTCAAATTCACGTGGGGAAGGATTCTGCTATCACTTTAGGTCTCTTCATCCAATTCCAATTGCTAAGCAACCTATGTATTTGTGATTTGATACCTAATTCCCTTCATTCCCGATCAATTAATCCCTATTTCTCTCTATATACAATTTAGTTTTTATATCTCTATATACGTATATCCCAAAAAAAGTAATGATGCGGTCATGAAAAAACCAAAAAAAAAAAAAAAAAATCAACATACTTAGTCCTGAATTACAATCATTGTTTTGCAATCAATTTTAATCTCAAACTTGCCCTAATCGGACAATTTATAAAATTTCCCAAATCACAGTTACACGATTTCTGCAATTTTACCTGTTAATTCATCGCATCGGCTACTTCAAATTCATTGCAATCACTGTGAACTTTGACTAACTTGGCATCGTATCTTGGTAGCATCATAACACTTTGCATCACGACCTCTGAGATCAACTCACTGTTGGGATTTATATGCCCTGGCATAGCAAATTCCTATCTGGATTGTAGTGACATATGTTCCTGACATATCTGAAATATTTATGATTTATATAATTGGTGAATTCAATGTATTATGTTTCGATTCACTATGAAATTGATAGTGTCCATGTAATTACAAGAAATATTTATATATATGTATGTGATGACAATCAATGCATGATATATAAATAGTAATTATAAATTATTCATAGTCGGTAATTATGGATGGACTCATAATTAATTAAGACTTGAACTGGATCCGCGTTAGGTTGAGATATATTGCGAGAGCCGTCGTATGCAATTACTCCCTATCACCGTCATGGCATTTGACTCTTAAGCATGAGAAAAGTATAGACTCTTTTATTAATTAATAATTACTTTGATTTGTTCGGCGGATTCTTCGGGATCCATAGACCGACACTTTGGGTAGTTATGTAATTAATAGTTAGAGAGTTATATTTTCAATATTTGCATCATTGCTACTTGTATTTATTTTGTATTGATTATGGTTGATCACAAAGTAAATTCGAAGGCCTTCGTGTGTTTTTAGACAAAATAATTTATTATATATTTATTTATTTAAATTATTATTTTTTTCAAACAAATGTTTTATTGTGATCGAGCCAGAAATAATCAAAGGTACCAAAATAAATATATTAATTAAGTAGTCGGATTGATGGCTATATTTATCCGATAACTAATTATGCATAGAGGGGTCAAAGTGCAATATTGACTTAGAGGTTATTTATTATTTAATTGGAGTTCAATTAATTTCTTTTAGTGGAGTAGAAATTAATTTATGAATTAATTGAATTGGGTCCATGGACCGGGCCAATTATTAATTCATTATAGCCAATAAAATAATAGGCCCAATAGATTCTCACTCATAGCCCAACTTGATATTGGAATCATATTAGATTTGAGACATATGAATTAGAGATAGAGAAGGATTTGTTGTTTCCTTTTCTTTATTTTTATGTTGCCTATAAATATACATGGTCTATGTATATTTTGGGGTGTGATTTTTATGAGAAGGAAAAAGGAATAAATTTTCTCTCTCTAGAAAATTAGAGTTTATGGTCTCATCTAATAGAGGCTCCCACAAGCCTAGTTTTCCAAGGTAATTCATGGAGGCTTATGAGTGATTCCTAAAGGCAAAATAATTACCAAAAAGATGGAGATCCAAGGAGAAGGTATCTTGTTAAGGGATCTACAATAAGTGAGAACATTCACTTTAGAGGAAAGTTTTAAAGGTTTACTCAGACCTTTGATGTAAGTATTCAATCCATTAATTGAATGATACATCATATTTTTATTTTTGCATAAAACTTGCCTCTATGTAATGAATCAAGATCTATGAATTTAAATCCCTCGAAAAGTTTTTAAAACTTGCACGTTTCCCAACAGTGGTATCAGAGCATGGTTTGATTCATTACTAGAGATCATGATTTTATGAAAATTATCATTCATGGATCCAAAATTATATTCATATATATTTTTAGTGATGTATGTTGATGTATGATTTAATATATTGATATATATTGATACATAATGATGTATGAATGATTGTGAATGAATGATGATGTATGGTTGGGCCATGGATGAAGCTTATAGGTTAAATTAATGTAATTTTATCTTTGGATGAATGTAATTAAGGCTTTGATTTAGCCGTTTGAAAGTTCAATGATGTAATTTAATTTTTTTCCATTGTATTTCAAATTGTAAATATTTTTAAAGCCATGTAATCTTCGTCAAAGGATACTATGAAGCTTCAAGAAGGTCCAAAAGGGTTAAATTATGCTTTAGTAATTTTCTGGAATTTTTTCGAATTTTTTGGAATTTTTCTGGAATTTTTTTAGGCTTAATTTAATTTTCTGGGAATTTTTCTGATTTTTCTGAAATTTTTCGGCGTTTTTCCGGTGGCCGGAGCATCGCCGGCGGCGAGAAGAGGCGTCGGAGAAGGCTGGGATCAGATGTGGTGCAGGTGGGGTGAGCCTGGCGCGTGAGGAAGACGCGCCAGGAGGAGACATATGCAATGCACGCGCCAGCCAAGGTGGTATGGCCTCCACGCGCGTGCAGGCGCGTGGAGGCGCGTCCCATGCGCCCCACGCGCGTGCCAGCGCGTGGGGGCGCGTGCCTTCACCTGCAGCATGCCCCAAGCGCGTGTGGGGCCCTCCAGGTGCGTTCCAAGCGGTGTTTTGCTTCTCCCTGTGCGTACCAGCCTTATGTGGGTGTTTGCAAGCCGATGGATGATCCTCGCGCAATACTTAGAGTGGTTAAATGTTAAAAGCTGATTCCATTGGCCATTTTATTTGCTTTATCTGTTATTTGTTTATTTATGCGATGTATGAAATGCATGGAATATATAATTGTTAATTAATTATTATTCATGCATTGGATCCATGATATTTATTTAAATGGCTTGATTTATATTAATTAAGTTATGAAAATTAATTGGATTTGATTACTAATTAATTTGAGGGCACTTATTGGGAAACGCAAAATTATTTTTTTGTAAATTATTTTTAAAGTGTGCTTCAAATTAAATATTAGTGAATCGTTTAAAGTCCAAACATTTTCTAAATTTAATTGGATTAAAATCAAGACGTTTTGCATGCATTATATCATGTAAATGAATAAAATGAAAACCCTAATTATGAATGATTAAAAATTGAGTGGGAACGGGGATTTTTATACATTGCCCCATGGCCTTTGTTATTAAAACCATTGTAATTAGATCTTCAAAAATAAGGCCCCACGCATGATTTGAAGAGTCTTAATATTACAAGAATGGTTGTCTCATGGAAATACAAATATTAAATGTTCATTGTAATTAGATCTTTAAAAATAAGGCCCTACGCATGATTTAAAGAGTCTAGATTATAATGACAACATATTTAATGTTTAATTTTTCGTTAGAGTTTTAATAACGTTATACACTCAATCTAAAATCAATAGTGTTAGCTTCCCAACGAAGTGGTCTATACTAGGTGATTTTAGAAAGGTTAAATTAAATCGGGAATCATTTCATATGATAGACAAGGCATTGTCTTAAGAGATATGGAAATGATGGGATTTGCCCGCCAATAGCAATAATGAACTTCGCCAACAGAATAAGTTATTGGCGTATTGGTTATTCGATTTTTCATGCAGTGGTTAAGGGACCCACATATTATTATTTTAATGGAAGTGCTCGCTTAATAGCAAATGAATCTCAATAATAGTAATAATGAACTCCTCCAACAGGATAAGTTATTGACATATTGATTAGTTGATTTATTATGCTACAGAGTTGAGGGACCCGCATTAATTAAAAGGGATTGTTCACCAATAATGATAATGATCTCTTGTTCGATTGAAATTTATTGTATTATGTGGTTAACAAGCTCATTTTAATTTTAAATATGCATGACATTATTAATAGTTCACCTTGCATATTGTATGAATGCATTTATATTCAGATTAATTATGTCTAATCCAGTTTATCTACTTGCTTACATATTCTATGATATTGGACCTTATTTATAATGACTGGAAAATGAACTTAGATATTTTATTCACAACGTAAGGGTACAAAATGTGTTTATTACTCCTATACCTATCTCTTTTACTTTGAGATACCAAATTTGACATTAATGCTTTTAATAAATTAGATAAGGCAAATGATATGACTTGGTGCAATATTCTAGAGTTTAGTTCGAATATACTCCAAAGCTAACATTTGTATTATTTTATTTTCTTCAAGCATCATATTAAATGTCAATGAGATATTTTGGTGAGATTAGATAGAGCATATGCCTAAGTACTGTGTCAAATTTAAATACCATCAAGATAGCCTCATGAACTCCAGTTTAAAATCAAATTTTGGAAAATGATTGTTTATTATTTAAAAATTAGCTGGAGATCAATAAGGCTGACTTGGGTGGTAAGTTTCAAGTTGACATGATTATTGCCTTGTTACCAAACTCATTCGACTCTGTTAGAGTGAACTAAATAAGGAATCAGTTTGAGTTCACACTCGCTGATATTCTTATAGAATTGGTAACAGATAAAGGGATAATCAAGAGTATGGGCGTTCCTATCAATCTAACCTAGTCTATACCATCTTCTTCTAGGCCCAAGTGGACGGGCAAAGCAAAGAAGAAGGATGATAATAGGACTAGACTAGCACAAAACATGGGTATTCAAAAAGGTTAAAGGGAATAAGGCAGTGTATGTTGAGGGCGAAGAAAACTGTTTCTTTTGTCGCTAACTAAAACACTAAAGGACGAACTGTTTAAGCAATGACGTGGCATAGGAAAATATATATTTAATCATTGAGCCATGTTATGTGGTTGTGTCTATTAATTCCTGATGGATAGATTCTGGAGCCACTAAACATGTTTTGCAATTTATTGTAAGGATTTCAGGATTTCAGAAGTCTCGATGATATGGAATATATTTGTACTTAACCTGATGTCAAGGTTGTAGCTAAGTCAGTGGGAGTATTACATCTGAAAATAGAGAGTATGAGGATATTAGTATTAGAGAACTATTTTTATGCACAGAAGTTAGACGCTATCTTATTCTTGTTTCACTTGTGGTTTATAAACACTGTGTTGTTATTTTGTAAAACTGGTTTTATAAAATTGAATAGATATGCGATTACTTCTGGTGTATTGAAAGATGGTTAATATACTATAATCACAAACTCTTAAGATTTGCAGGATGTAGAAACTAATGTTGCATCTTCTAGATTGAATGTTAAGAGAAAATTTGTTATTCCTGACTCATTATATTTTTATTGTCTATTTTTGGGTTGTTATCAATCAAAATAAGATTCAAAGATTGGTCAAAGAAGGTTAATTACCTAGTGAGGCAGGGGAGCCTAAACCAAACTTGTGAACCCTGTTTTGAAGGATAGATAACGCTTAGGGCTTAATCAGCCAGATGAAATAGACATAAAGGACAATTGGAGTCGGTACACACTGACACGTGTGGT